ACACAGCTCTCGCTTTGGGAGTACAGAGATTGGATGGCCCTGAGTAGAGACCCCCTCACCCCATACTCCCGCAGCACCTCCCACAGTAACTCCCTGGGAACTCGGTCATACGCCTTCTCCAAGTCTACAAAACACATGTAGACCGGATAAGCGTACTCCCAGGCCCCCTCCAGGATCCTTGCGAGAGTAAAAAGCTGATCCGTCGTTCCACGACCAGGACGGAATCCGCATTGTTCCTCCTCAATCTGAGGTTCGACAATCGGCCTGACCCTCCTTTCGAGTACCTTAGAGTAAACTTTCCCGGGGAGGCTGAGTAGTGTGATGCCTCTGTAATTGGCACACACCCTCTGATCCCCCTTTTTAAAAAGGGGAACCACCACCCCGGTCTGCCACTCCTTCGGTACTGTTTCCGACTTCCACGCAACGTTGATGAGACGTGTCAACCATGACAGTCCCTCAACACCCAGAGCCTTCAGCATTTCCGGGCGGATCTCATCCACCCCCGGGGCTTTGCCACTGTGGAGACGACCTCAGTGACCTCCCCCCGGGAGATTGGTGTTGATCCCCCGTCATACTCCAGCTCTGCCTCTAACATAGAGGGCGGAGTTGTCGGGTTCAGGAGTTCCTCAAAGTGTTCCTTCCAACGCCCTAACACTCCATCAGTTGAGGTCAACAACGTCCCATCCTTACTGTACACAGCTTGGATGGTTCCCTGCTTCCCCCTCCTGAGGTGTCGGACAGTTTTCCAGAACAACTTTGGTGCCGCCCGAAAGTCCTTCTCCATGTCTTCTCCGAACTTCTCCCACACCCGCTGCTTTGCCTCGGCCACGGATGAGGCTGCTGCCCTTCGGGCCTGTCGGTACCTTGCAACTGCCTCGGGAGTCCCCCGGGATAACAAATCCCTGAAGGCCTCCTTCTTCAGTCGGACGGCTTCCCTGACCACCGGTGTCCACCAGGAGGTTCGAGGGTTACCGCCCCTTGAGGCACCTAGGACCTTGAGACCACAGCTCCCCGCCGCGGCTTCGGCAATAGAGGCTTTGAACACCGACCACTCTGGTTCAATGTCCCCAACCTCCACAGGAATGCCCGAAAAGCTCCGCCGGAGGTGTGAGTTGAAGGCCTCCTGAACTTGGGCCTCCTCCAGACGTTCCCAGTTCACCCGAACTACACGTTTGGGCTTACCAGGTCTATCCAGAGGCTTCCCCCGCCACTCGACCCAACTCACCACCAGATGGTGATCAGTTGACAACTCCGCCCCTCTCTTTACCCGAGTGTCCAAAACATACGGCCTCAGGTCCGATGATACGATAACGAAATCGATCATGGACCTTCTGCCTAGGGTGCTCTGGTACCACGTACACTTATGAGCATCCTTATGTTCGAACATGGTGTTTGTTATGGCCAATCCATGACTAGCACAGAAGTCCAGTAACAAACCACCACTCCGGTTCAGATCAGGGGGGCCGTTCCTCCCAATCACACCCCTCCAAGTGTCTCCATCATTGCCCACATGTGCGTTGAAGTCTCCCAGCAAGATTAAAGAGTCCCCTTCAGGAGCCCCATACAGGACTCTTTCCAGGGTCTCCAAGAAGGCCGTATACTCTGAACTGCTGTTGGGTGCATAAGCACACACAACAGTCAGAGTTTTCCCCCCCATAACCCGCAGGCGTAGGGAGGCGACCCTCTCGTCCACTGGGGTAAACTCCAACAACGAAGCACCTAACCGGGGACTTGTGAGTATCCCCACACCCGCCCGGCGCCTCACACCTTGAGCAACTCCGGAGAAGAATAGAGTCCAACCCCTATCCAGAAGTAAGGTTCCAGAGCCGACGCTGTGCGTAGAGGTGAGCCCAACCAGATCCAACTGGTAACGCTCCACCTCCCGCACAAGCTCCGGCTCCTTCCCCCCCAGAGAGGTGACGTTCCACGTCCCCAAAGCCAGCTTCTGTCGCCCGGGTCTGGTCCGTCGAGACCCTCCGCTTTCACTGCCACCCTTCTGGCAGCGCACCCGACCCCATCGATGTTTCCCGTAGGTGGTGGGCCCGCGGGACGGAGAAGCGGAGGTGTTGCCCACGTTGCCTTTTCGGGCTGGGCCCGGCCGGGCTCCGTGGCAAGCCCGGCCACCAGACGCTCGCCGACGAGTCCTCCTTCTGGGCCTAGCTCCAGAAGGGGACCCCGGGCTTCCTCCGGGCCGGGTATCCTCACTTCTTTGTTGTTCTTTCATGAGGTCTTTCATTGAACAATATCTGAATATTCCCAGGTAATTGAACGTTTTTTGCCTTAAACATGATTTGTGCAATTTGGAATTCAACAAGATCTGACAGTTTTAATAATTTTAGCTCTAAGAATAATGGGTTTGTATGATCCCTATAGCCGACATTTTTAATAAGTCTTATTGCTCTTTTTTGTAGAATAAATAGGGATTGTGTTGTAGCTTTATAATTACTGCCCCAAACCTCTGCACAGTAACTTAAATAAGGTAAGACCAATGAACAGTAAAGAATGTAGAGGGAATTTTGATCAAGAATCTGTTTTGCCTTGTTTATTTAATATAGCAATACTTCTTGAGACTTTGGAATGAATATGTTTTATGTGTGGTTTCCAGCTCAGTTTCTCATCAATTGTGATTCCAAGGAATTCATGTTCTTTAACTCTCTCAACGAAAATCCCATCTATCTTAATGGATGCTAGTGTATTGCTATTTCCAATATGATTAATGTTGTTTTATTCAAGTTTAATGATAACTTATTACTGTTTAGCCATAACTTTAGTTTGCATATTTCAGCTGTGATCTCTTCCAATAGTAGCTGTACATTGTCCCCAGAACAAAATATATTAGTGTCATCAGCAAACAAAACAAACTTGAGTACTGTCGATACATTGCATATTTCATTAATATACATAATAAATAGTTTCGGCCCCAATACTGAGCCCTGGGGGACACCGCATGTAATGTCCAAATATGAAGAACAACACTCTCCCAGCTTCACAAACTGTTGCCTGTTGGTTAAATAACTCCTTACCCATTCCAAAACTACACCCCTGATTCCATAACGTTCCAGTTTCTTTATTAATATGTCATGATTAATTGTGTCAAATGCTTTTTTTAGGTCAATGAATATTCCAATGGCATGTTTCTTTTGGTCAATTGTAGTAATTTATCTAGTATATAGTAATCTAGTAATCTAGTAATTTCTTCAAGTGAGTCTATTAAAGCCATCGATGTTGATCTATTGGCTCTGAATCCGTATTGACTTTCGGTGAGAAGTTTGTGTTTTTCTATGAAATTGTCGAGTCTGTTATTGAAAAGCTTTTCAAGAATTTTTGAGAATTGTGGTAGAAGTGAGACAGGTCTATAGTTTGTGAAGTTTGTTCCCAGCTTTGAACAAAGGTATGACTTTTGCTATTTTCATTTTGTTAGGAAATGCACCAGTTTGGAATGATAAGTTACATATGTGTGTGAATGGTTTTGAAATAACATCTATAAGCTTTTTTAATACAGTCATGTCAATGTCATCACAATCGGTAGATTTTTTGTTTTTACATTTCGTTACAATATCAACTACTTCCATTTCATCCACTGCTGTGAGGAACATTGAGAAAGGATTACGTTTTATTACGTTTTCCAGCTTTTTTTTCTGATGTTCCTCCATCAGGGATTTTGCCTGCTAATTCAGGTCCAACATTTACAAAGAAATCATTGAAACTGTTGGATACAACATCCATATTTTCCTCTTCCTTATCCTTGTCAATGAAGTATGTGGGATAACTCCTTTTTCTAGACCCATTTTTTAGTGGGAATGCTGTTAACAGCATTCCAACTAACTGTTATTCTACGGACACATTTTTTATTATTCCGCCGGTATTTTGGCCCTCTTCTCCTCCCGCATTGAACATCGCAGAAACTCCGTTCAAACATCAAAACGTTCAGCTCGGTCGGGAATCGATGGCTATTACTTTTCTCATTCATAACTTTCATAATTCCAGAGATACATCCCATAATACATCACATTTTTAACCATTGAAGTCAATGGAGAAAATCTTCAACTTCAACAAATCTTCATGCAACTTCAACTGCTAATTGTTCATTCATGCTTTCACTCAGAAACCTCATTCCAACTTTCAAATGTTACAAATCTTTCTGACATTATTCGTGTGAAAAAACTTTTAAATCTGAGTCTTACTTTTAGAGATATTAACATTTGTTCAGACCTTGTTTTAGAGTGTTTCTTCACATTTTAACATTAACTAGAGTGCGTGATGTCACAGCTAGAGTGGAGGACATCTTGAAATTTGCCTTCATATTTTTTTTTTAAACTGCCATAATTCCCAAACCCTACATTCCTGAAACATAATTTATCATGACAAACGTAGGAAAACATCTCGTAGCTTGAAAAAGGACAAATAATTAAGCAAAAATAATTAAACGAAATTCCTCTTGAGGGCATGAAGTGACAAAAACTTTCAACATTCCTCCATTGAAGCCCATTGTAATTTCAGGCAGATATTTCCTCACGGTAGCAGCCGCACACCTTTAGTTAAACTGCCAAAAAGGCCACATTATTAACCCGAAAGTACACAACAATTACACTTCAGATACTCAACTTCCTTGACATGCTTCACGTTTTGAAATTTCACAGATATCTGTTACGGTTCTTCCACAAAACGTTCACATGTAAGAGGTTTATCTCTCATTCAGAACAATGGAAACCTTTGACATCCAGTTTCGCTATGAGTGGTCGCATTTTCGAGAGCTCCCGCTTTGGAGGTTATTCCTCACGATTTTGTACATATTTCATCCTCCTGACAATATGGATTATGGACTCCTACCTCAACTCATCAATGAGGCAACATCACTTAGAGAAGGAGAGTAATGAAAGCGGGGATAAAATGAACCACAATGACTTTTACCTTCTGAAACCACAGCAAATGTTTTGCCCTTTGACAAGTTTTCATATCAAAATACATGTTATTCTACACCTTTTTTTAGATTTGGGAAGACCTTCAGCAGTTAAGAATATAAAACACATATTCATTGTATTAAAACAAATCACTATAAACATCTGACCTAAAGAAGTATATCATAATTGCCTTTGCTTCAAACACACTTGGACAAAAACACACGTGTAAAATGTAATTCTGCCCGTCTGTGACCGCAGCTGTTCGGTTTTTATAAACCTCTGTGGGCGTGGCACCCTCTCCATTGAACTCCCACCTATTGACTTTTGTGTTGTCTTTCACCGCCAGGACCTGTGCCTGGTATGTTCCAATGTTTGTTTTCTTTAACCCTTCAAATTCTTCAACTTACTTTGAGTGACAGTATATCTTGACAGTCTGTATCAATGGTTAATTTAATGCTTTCCATTTATATTAAAAGGGGTGAAGAAGCAGAGCAATGCTGACAGAGCCACGCCTGAGCAACAACACAAGCTGCGGCGCAAAACTATGTTGCTGGATCCAAGCAGGTGCTAAGTATACCATTTACGGTGTGTGCATACTTCAAATCATCTGTGGCACTGATGATTTTCAAGTCTTAAAGGATCTATTTCTCATCCTCTGTTTTTCCATAATTCCTGCATGTCATTCCACTATTCTGTTTCCCCACCTTTCCTGTCTCTCTCTGCCTACATTTAATAAAGGCATGAAATGCCCCAAAAGTCTTTAAATAATAGTCATTAACATTACAATTTGCAGAAGTAAACTAACAAACTGTAAACACATGGTAATGATTGAGGTTTTTTTCATTTCTCTGAACACTTGTTTTTGAAGGGGGAAAAAAGACCGTCTTAACCTTTGTTTCATGTTTGTGCAGCCTTCTATGAAGGGGACTCGAGGACTGAGAGGGGACTCGAGGACTACTCCGTACACATCTCTGGACCTGGTTTGTGACGGTGTTGATCCATGTGGAAGGGACACAGACACCCCAAGAGGCCCCTGTTTCACCTTTAAATGATCTGGACCTGTGCCTGGTATGTTGCAATGTTTGTTTTATTGAATATTTTCAAGTCTTCAATTTACTTTGAGTGATATAGTACATCTTGAAAGTCTGTATCAATGGTTTATGTAATGTTTTCCATTTATATACAAATGTTTCAAGCTAGAAACCTCACATATTCCTATCAACAAGTGATTTTGGCTAAATACCCAATTAAACAAAGCCTTTTTATCCCACATTATAAGATCATTCCACTTTAGTGCTACAGCATTTTCAGACAACAAGCCATTGTGGATTGTATGTATTGCCCATTTGCATCATTGGTGTTACAGTGTTCTCTCCATGCACCACAGAACCAGAACCACATGGACCCAAGACCAGAGTCATCAGAGGCAGTGCAGCTCAGGATTCTTTCAGCAGCCTTCAATCCTTCATCTTCATCTAATAAAATGTAAGCAACCAATTTGCATCAGATACTATGAGTAGATTTAATGTTGTTTTATAACCTGGAAACTGTGTTCATGGTTTTTTATACCTTGTAGCATATTTTCCACTTCTCTCATAAGTTGATGTCTGTGTGTGTTACGGCAACCATATCAATATTGTTTTCCAACATTTTGTTGCTGTATTATGATATTTATCATCTTGTTTACAGCAACTTCTGATTGGAGAGAGTCCTCAACACCCAGAAGACTTCATCTCTACACTGCGGCTGCAACAGCAGCAATCAGTCCTGACGCAGGCACATGTTCTTAACCCGCACCTTCACAAACACTTGATGCTCAGCCGTCCTGGTAGGGGATCCCTCTAAGACTTGGCCTACCTAAAGGTTTCTCCCTTTGTCCTTAATAAGGTTTTTCTCTGAGTTTTTCCTGATATACTTAGAGGGTCGAAGGCTGAGTGGATATGAAACGTTTCTATATATGGACACTTAATGGGGCAGACATATAAATGGCAGTTGTTGCTTCTTTTGAGCATTTAACCGTACTATTATTTCATGACATTTAGTGTGAGATTTTAATAGTTCAATTAAAATATACATATGTGACATGCATGAAATGCATAGTAAAACTGTTTGTTTTATGCTTGCTTTTGTCTTGTTCTGGTTTGACTGCTATTATTTTATTAAAATGAAAAGTTGCTATGTTTTTTTTCTCTTCACTTCTTGTGTGATTTATTTAATTGATATGAATAGTTTCTGTATTTTAGATTTGTTGTTCTTCAGATTGTTATTTTCTTTAGTAATTGATGTGAAATGTTTCTATATATTAACTTATTCACTTGAGTGATTTCTTTACATTTATTACGACATTTGTATCAATAGTTTCTGTATATAGTTGTTTTATCACTTGTTCTTTCACACAAATTACTTTATTTTTGTTCACCATTTCACTTTGTGGTTTTACAGAATATATTTGTTATAGTAATTGATTTAAACAGTTTTATATAGTTTTTTTCATGTATTGTTTGACAGATTTTCATTCGTGTTTTTACTGAATACAATTTGTTAGTAATTGATTTGAAACGTTTTATATTGTTTTTTCCCCCATGTTCTGGTTTTTGAAAATAACATTTTCCAAATGTTACTATTTCACCAGTTCTTTTTGCATTTTCAACTTTTCCTACGAATAACATTCTACCTTCAAATCCTTAAATCTTTAACAATATTTATACATTTGGAATTTCATGCTACTTTTTAACATAATATTCATTCATATGGAAACCATTCAGTCATCCAAATATTCCTGATTATTCACTTTCTTCTTACACATTATATTTCAGCATAAAGCATTCCCACTAGCAATTTCTTCAGGAATTGCATTCTCTAGTTATAATACTATTCAGTATGCTCCATATTCCTTTAATGTTGTTTTTATTTTTGTCTAGTATTTTCCGATAGTATTCACTTTTGCAGGATCCTTATTATAATTAATTAATTTGTATATCTAATCTCTGTCTCTTTTGTTTTATTTCGCATGAAATCTATACAGATGTAGCGCTTCATTTCAGATGCCCGTGATCGGAACGGGGTGGGCCCCTGCTGAAAAGGAAAACCCCCCCGCAGGACTTAAAACGCCCCCTTGATAAATACATTTAATTATAATGAAACCAGCTGCAATGGATCATGGATCCACCAGGGGGAGCCGTGATTAAAAAGCTGCCACACTGGAACTCATGTGAAATAAACAGCTGATCTACAGGTATCTGATATAGCGGATATTTGTTAAGATCCATATGTCACGGATAGGATCATATTCTGTGCTAAATAAGAGACATGTAATCATTTACTAAACATCCCCATGTTTTTATTTAACAAAATAATGTTTAATTCACGTTGGCGTAAGTACAAAACCATCGCTATGTTTTTAGATCAGGAAATGCATCCAGGCTCAAACAAACGATTTTCAATCATCATCCTCACGATCATTTAATGTATCATATGTTCGCGAGTTGAAATGAATGCACTAAATTTAATCCACGTGAGTTTACAACAACAAAAATAATCGCTTTGTTTTTATATCACATCCGACCGGAGGAAAATGCAGCACGGGTCTCACTACCGATCATCCTAATCCCACGGGCAAACAATAATATGTACAGTGTTAATAGTTTACTGTATTATTAGTGTCTAATATTACTGGGGATTTCGGAATGGTACTGGATTTTGATTTATTGTATCGGCTTCATATCGCAATATATTCCCGAAGTCTGAAATGCAAAAATGTCCCACATTAGGGCAATTCACTCTACATTTAATCATTCATACAAAATCATATTTCGTTTATTTTTAACGAAATAAATGTGGTTTAATCCACATAATTTACTGTGTTAATTGTTTTCTGTAGTATTGTGCACATTACTTTTCGCTGCTTGTTACACTCCTGGTTAGAAGCTAAACTGCATTTCGTTGTCTCAGTACCTGCAATATGTGCAATAACAATAAAGTTGAATCTAATCTTGAGCAGGAACAAATGTATTTAGGCTACTTAGTACATATCTGACATAAACGATTAAACACATTTGTGCATTCTTTAAACCGAGTCAAGCCGAGTCCGGAGGTGGCGGCACATTAAAGTGTGCACCTGATTGTTTAACTTGAAGGTGCCTGATGACATTTAATCATTCAAACAAAATCATATTTTGTTTATTTTTAACGAAATAAATGTGGTTTAATCCACATAATTTAGGCCTACTGTGTTAATTGTTTAACTTGAAGGTGCCTGATGTGAACATTTCCAGAAGAACTCTAGCTTGAATGGCCTTTGTATTGTTGGAGTTTTGAGGTTTTTACAACCCCACTCGGCTCCGCGTGTCGTTTTGACGAGTCCTGCTTAAAATCATAACAGGAAGGAAATCAGACAGAGAACACCCAGATACCAGTTTAAACAATCTGTTTTAATTATCAAAGGTAATAATGCAATGCAATATAATACATTACAACACCATATAATACAATATACTACAATCATATTGTAATGTTTTAAGAAGTAGCCGGCCCACTTCTGCCCTGTTCGCGTGCTGCGGAGATCCTTCTGTCCTGACAGCATGTGAAGAGAGAGCGAACGCCAGGAATCGACAGGAGATATACAATAATAAGAAGGAGGGGTTAGGTCAGCTGGTCAGCTGGTCATCTTTTCAGGTCATCTCATTGGGAGACGCAAAATATGCTTTGTCACAGTGACCCAGCGCTGGCCAGCAGAAAACCAAACAGGCCCATTTTACAACAAAACACATCTTATCACCCAAGTCATGTGTTTCTTTATGAAAGCCATACTTGTTGGGAATATAACAGTCATTATCCCATGACATCCTCAGAACTAGCTCACCAACAACGCCTAACTGTCTTCATACCCCCCCAATCATCTCTGAACTTTTATTCACCCGAAGTAAGCTCACCCTTAGTCTAAAAGGACCATTGTCTCTCTTAACTGTGTGACTAAATTCTCAAGGCCTGCAGGATGCGCATAATTAACTTAGAACGAATTTAGCCACTATATCTAATGGTTAACCAAGAAAAACACTCAAAAGGGTAATCTTTTCACTCAAAACAGAACTCACAAGTAATTCTGCATTTTACCCCTCAAAAATAGCCTAAAGCACCCTTTTGATGAAAAGGGTAAAAGTGAAAGAAAAAGACTATTGCGCTAATCTACTTTAAAGAAAAAGGGAACATTGTTTCAGGAATCTATAAAAAACCTCTCTATATTTAAGAGGAAAAATGTATTTTGTTCCTTCAACTATTAATACACAGGAATGTATATACCCACACATATATTTAGGGATAACATGATGCAATACACCTCCTATATATTGGTGAGATTAAAATGAATATACCAAAAATATGCTGCATCACATCTTCCGCATAATACTCTTCATAAACTTCCGCAATTCCCCCTTTTGCACTCTTTTAAAAGAGTGCAATTTACACAAGGCACTTGAAACATATACCCACTGTCATTCTTTTTTACTGTGTTCGTCTCCCAAACATTGTATAAATCCATCCGAAGCTGGTATTTAGAGTACTTGAAACCTTCATGGAGACAGAACTCCACTTTCCATGGCAGTGAAGGAACCATGAGGGGGCAGCTGGGTGCTAGTGCAGTCTCCTTGTGTGGTGAATCATCAGCCCCCCCCCCCCCCCCCCTCAGAGGAATACGCCAACAAGGGCCAGCTGATAGGGAGGGGGAGATGCGGCTTTCCCTTCACGGGTGGAACTGATCAGAGAAGTAGACTCCTCTGCTGCCTCGACAAGTCCCCTGTGCCGTCCTGGCTTGCCGTGTCTTTGTCCCCCCGATCCGCTGACGGCAGCTTCTGGGCTGCCTGCTAGAGAGATGTCTTCCTCCTCCTCCTCCTCCGGCCCGCTGATGGCGGCTTCCGGGTCGATGCTGGAGAGATGTCTTCCCGATTCTCCTTCTCCGGCCCGCTGATGATGCCTCCCGGGTCGACTGCCTTGACGAGGGCCAGGTCTGTCCTGATGTCGTCTAGGGTCCTCGCAGGTGTTTTCCCGACCGCACACTGGCTCCAGTGGTACCAGTTGTCCCCCTTTCCTTCTAGGCGGACGGCATGGGATGTCCTCTGGGTCACTCGGTCGGGGCCGGAGAGCCTGGGGTTGAGCCACTTTGTCCTGATGACTTTCAGCCAGACGAACACCGCTGTGTCGGCCTCGTGCTTCTCGGGTCCCCCTTTTGGCGCCAGCAACCTGTGTGGAGAAATCTGATACAACTCCCTCAAGCCTACGCTCAGCTGTTTTGACCCACTTGGAGCCTGTTGGTGGGGTGTCTTGAAACAACAGACGTCTGTGAACAGGTTTTCTAAATGAATTGTAGACCTCCTATCTGCCAGTGCGGCTTCAGAATCTTAATACTTGGATTGTGCCAACTAAATAAGAACCCCAACATCTTTAGGTAAACTAAATAACATATTTC